CCACTGTATATATATATATATATATATATACATATATACAGTACACACACACACACATACTTATCTATAATTTGAAACTTAGTATCTTAATAATTTAACAATACAAATTAAGAAATCATATTTGAAAATTCTTGTAGATTAAATAAATATATCCAAACAGGCCACTCTTGAGGGAAATCGATTCTCCAATGACAGTTTGAAATATTTTTCGCTACCAGTTTTACTTACTTATTAATGAAAGTGCTGGTAGCCTTAGTTTGGAGCTTGGAATGCAACAGTAACATGTTAAGCTGTCAGATAGAAATAAGAATCATTTTTGAATAATTCCAAATAACACATTTGATCAGCATGCTTAAACAGTATTTCATATGTTCTGTCATGTCAAACTCTTTATGCTTTAGTCTACTGAAAAAAAAAAATTTTCCAAACTTTCTGTCAGTCAATAAAAAATCCCCAAACTGGAAATACAAAATAACACATTTGATCACAGACCTTAAATAGTATTTCATATGTTCTGTCATGTCAAAATTTTTATGCTTTAGTCTAATGATAAAAGATCAGAATAAAAAAAAAATAAAAAAATACCATTCCAAAAAAATCATAAATCTGGAAACGCTGGGCAGCATTGTACAAAAATTGCTCTTTGGTTCTCAATGTCACTTCCTGCTTTCCTGTCTGGACTTGCTGCATGACATTATGACATTGTTAGTTATGTGGTGCACCAGACTCCCACTGCACAGGAGCTTGATATTCTGCTGTTTTTCCTGAAGTATGCTTTGTGATTCAATTTAATACTGAATGGTGAAATAAGCAGACTAGTTTTTATCACCACTTTAATAAAAATATCACCAAGTGGCAATTTTGATACTATGCAGCATGATCAGATATATATATATATATACATATACATATACAGTATATAAGAATGGATAAAAGAGAAAATACATAGCAAAATTAATATCCTTTCATATACTTTAATAAATCTTGAGCTGAATCCACTTATTATTACATATGAGAGAAGATTGGGTGATATGCATGTAAAATGTGTGAAAGCAGTTATTTCTATAAATTTTTCCCCTTCTCTCTCTCAGTAAAATTATCAATATAAAATTCTGAATAATTTTTTCATTAATTTTGATTTTGTCAATAAATTTCTTGATTAGAAAAATGTTTTACTTTAGTCAGACTAAAATTATCATCTGTTAAAACAATTTAATAATTTAAACAAACAAATTTATTACTAATAATTTTGATATTTTATAAACCATTTTAATTCTAAATTATTAATTTAACAAGCAATTATTTATTGTGACGTTGTCACANAATGCCGTATCCTGAAAAATTTACACACATTCAATTTTCATAAATAATACTTAATATTTAAAATATTCATATTTTAAATATATAAATTCAGTTTACAATTTACTAAGAAGCACTATACTGTGTTAAATTTTATTTTAATATTTCTAAGATTTATTTAGGGTAGGGCTCCTCTTGCCAACCACTCCAGTAGTCAACCATCTAAGCCAAAATCTGTACATAATTAGTCCATCTGAACAGGTTTAGGCAAGCTATCTTCACAGGAAGCATCATAAGATGACCCCATTCTCAATGTCATTTAAGAATAATAGGTTGTCTC